ACCCCCCTGGGCACCCTGAAGTCCCTATAATACCTTTTAAAATCAGTTTTAAACCCTAGCCCAACACATTTCGGTCTCTCTCTTCCTCTCCCAGATTCAAAATCCCGCATCCACAAACTTCTCACCGGCGAAATTGCTTCCTGGAGTCATAACTCCCTCTCCGGTGGTCAAAATTCGATGGTTTAACTACCGTTGGATTCCTCTCCTCGAGCTCTTTCTTTTGGTGGTGATTTCATTCAGTTTGGAGCGCAGATCTGTTTCTGCAATTTTTTTTCATTCGACGACGGTGGTCTGATCGGTGATTTGTTGTGTTTCACCCTTCGAAATTTGACGGGCTACCCACCGTTGGATTCCTCTCGTCGATTACTATATTTTGATGGTAATTTCGTTTATTTTAATGTTTTCAGAATTATTTCTATATTTGTTTGCATTTGTGGGCGCGCTGAACCGTGGTGGTTATTAGCGGCGTCTAGGGTTTTGGTAGGAGGCGAGGGGGTGAGGAGTCAATGTCTGTTTGATTTAAAATCTGTAGCATTTCCCAACAATAACCTCTCTCTCTATCTCTCGATCTCTTAGTGTTTGTTGATTTTTGAGTGTTTTGATGTTTTTTCAAATTTTGTTGATTTGCACTAAAGTAATTTTTTTTTGTTTTGATTTTGCAATTGCAGCTTAATGAAGGCCATTGATCCTTTCCTTGAAGGTGTCAAAATTTTTGTTTGAAGTTACGCCTGCTTTGTTCAACAGACTGTATACATTATTGTACATTACTATACATTACTATAGTAACATGTAGTTATATAACCGTATATTTGGGTATTTTCATTTTGTATTTTATTGGTTGTGAGGTGATTTATAATAAAAATATTAAAATTTGTAAATTTTTGTTGGGTTTTTATGAATTTCTTTTGTATAAGCCAATATTCGTGTGTGTATACAATTGATCGACTAAAAATATGGGGAAAAAAAACGAACATAACTACGAATTACTATATGTACTATAGTTACAGGTAGTTATTTTCAGTACAGTAAACATATTGTTTTGAAAATTAAAAAAAATTAAAAAAAAATTAATTTTTTTTTTAATTTAAAAAAAAAATTAAAACATTAAAAAAATTAAAAATTTAACAAACAAGTTTATTATTTAAAAAAAAAAGGAAATAATGATAAATAAATCAGCGAAAATGATAAATGCAGGACCAGAAATGCTGAATGCAGTTTTGGCCGAAAATTGCATATAAGGGAGGTATAGTAGTTTCGCTTCTCTAGGGGGTATGTCAAATGATGATTTGGGCTTAAATTTATCCCTAGTTTATTTGGTGGCTAGGGGTATGTAAAATAACCTCTCTTTTTTATTAAAAAAATATTTTTAGGGTTTCGGGGAAAACCTTCCTCTTATATATAAATACATGCGTGCTAGAAACTATGCATCATATGAGATCTTTTATGGGTTTATATGATGCTATACCGGGTGTGTGTGTGTGTGTGTGTGACCACTCATATACACACGCACATCCACATTGGTGTATATAGATAAATATCTATCTCTCTCTCTCTCTCTATATATATATATATATATATATATATATATATATATATATATATATATATATATATATATATATATATATATATATATAAAAGAGAGAGATGTTTTTGTTTAGAAATAGGGTTAAATACAGATACTTTACACCCCTAAAGTATACCCTCTGTAACACTTACCTCCCTAAAGTATCATTTGTAATACTTACCCCTCAAGCTCAATTTAATTTGTATTTGAACTCCTAATGAATTAAAATTTTATATTTTATTTAAAAGAATAACTAAAAGAATAATTAAATTATACAAATAAAAATATCTGTTGAAAAATGGAATATTTTAAAATTTAATAAAACATAGTTATCTTGTGTTGGGTATATATGTAATAAATAACATCTAATTGTTATTAGACCAATTAATCGAATATATTCATATCGATAAATTTTAAGAAAATCAATACATAACTAATAGTAATATGAGCACCTGACAAATAAGCTCACCAATGAGTATTTATTCATAAAGAGGTCAAGATAATAAACTCTTTTACAAAAAAGTCCACACATGTCCAGAGGTTTGTAAAAGACAAAAATAACCCATCATACTTTAATATGCTCCAATTTCATCCTTTTATTTAATCTAACCTCAATTTGACCCCAAATTTTACAAATTATTCAAATTTGACCCAAAACACATTTCTATGGACAATTTCGTCATTCACCGCCGTTGACTTTTTTTTTTTTTTGTCTTTCTGATTTTTCCGCCGCCGGATTCCGACATTGACTTTTTCGAAATATTTTTTTTAACATATTTCCCCCCGTTTAAACAACAATATTGATGTGATTGACAGTAGTATTAAGGGCTTTTTGCTTTCAGAGATGCGATAACACCCCTCCTTATTGATTATCATGGACTACACTATTTGGATTGAGTAAAAAAATATCAATCTCATATTATGATTTGTAAACAAACGAATTGGACTATTAATTAATCCTTATGTATCTCTGATTATGTTTAAAATACTATTTAGACTTTATTCTACAATTACCTTATTATGGTTGTTAAAAATCGAAATTTCCCTCCCTTGCATGGATAAAATGGTCCTTCATAATGTGTTATTTTTACTGCAGTAGTTGAATTATTTTTGTAGGTTTTATTTATTTATTATTATTTATTATTATTATTATTATTATTATTATTATTATTATTATTATTATTATTATTATTATTATTATTATTATTATTATTATTATTATTATTGTTATTATTATTATTATTATTATTATTATTATTATTATTATTATTATTATTATTATTATTATTATTATTATTATTATTATTATTATTATTATTATTATTATTATTATTATTATTACTATTATTAGTATTACTATTATTAGTATTACTATTATTAGTATTACTATTATTATTATTACTATTATTACTATTATTATTATTATTATTATTATTATTATTATTATTATTATTATTATTATTATTATTATTATTATTATTATTATTATTATTATTATTATTATTATTATTATTATTATTATTATTATTATTATTATTATTATTATTATTATTATTATTATTATTATTATTATTATTATTATTATTATTATTTATTGAGGACAATATCGGTAGCAAAATACTTTCTGAATCCATGAATAGTGGCTGGACTAGTAATCTCGGGGGAGGGGTGTGATTACCTAATCTTGGAATTCCAGGATATGGAAGGATAAGAAATCGGGATCTTAATTAGTTGCGGGCCGATATATTGAAAACCTAACTATTGATTACAAGTGACTAATGAATCAATCTTGGCTTTTCACTAAAAGCAAAAAGGCCTCTATATTACTGTCAAATGCAGTAAAATGAACTATACTACAGTTTAACACAATAATGTTCTAATGTTGCTATATTAATCTCTAGCACAATAATATTAACACAACAAAACTCATTATTATTGTGTAATAGAGTTATATTAATATGTTGACTGTTCAACAAATGTGAACATAATAAAAGCAAAAAAATTAATATTACTGTGAGTGACAGTAATATTACTATAACAATAGTAATATTACCGTCAACCACAGTACAATTATTGTGTTTACAGTAATATTACAATAATAGACAGTAATATTATTACGTTACTCCGTGAATAACTCAAACAAAACAAAAAAATCCAAAAAAATAATAATATTGATGTGGTTGACAGTAATGTTATTGTGTTTACAGTTATTTTACTGTCAACGACAGTAATATAATTACGTTGACTTGTCAACAAATTAAAAAACCACTAAAAAATGTCAACGACGGTAACCGGCGGTAAACTCCGGAATCCGGCGGCAGAAAAAAACATACCAGAAAGAAAAAAAAAAAAAAAAAAAAAAGAAAAAGTAGTCAGCGCCGGAAACCGGAGGCAGAAAAATCAGGGGAAAAAAAATCGAAAAGTCAACTTCCATTATCAACTTACAATGGTCAATATCTCCTTCAATCTTGATCCTATTACATGATGAGCTTACGTGCATGATAATTGACGGATCAAAATAAATTAAGGTTCAAACTATAACAATTTTTTTTTTTTTTTTTTTGTGAAAAATAATTATGAAGTTTTATTTGTGTTGATGTGTAATATCATTTACGAGTAGTCACAACCCACGAGTAGGCGATAGTCAAGAAGTAGCACCTCACCACATAAAGATAGATGTGGAAGGTTGAGATGCACTACCACAAAGATGAACACACGTGAATTAAGTCGAAATTGGTTAGGCGAAACCCCTTTGATGCTCAAGTTAGTGAATATGCTCAAAAATTAAGGGAAGAGATCTCCAGAAAAGAGAAAATAATAACATACATTAAAAATACTGGTTGTTAGATTTATTTTGAAGTTTAATTGGTAGAATCGTCATTCAAATCTTGATTAAAGACATTAATGGGCCGGGCTTCTACCTTTAAGCAAATGGGATTAACCCCACTAGCTAAATTATTTATAAATGGGTTGAATTTTGAATAGCAAATGGGGTATATGTATTACGTTATATGTATATTTCAACTTGATTATAACAATTCATATATTGCTATGATCCATGACCCAATTACGAGAAGAATTGAATTTTGACTAAATTATATATAAACGTGATCTAAATAAAATTTATCAAACATAATGGCACTCGTTAGTCAAACAACAAAATATATTATTGTAACTTAATAAATACATTGATATATTCGAAGAACAAAATTTTATTGTCACCAAATTTTGTTTTCATATTCAGAATTGACCACATTAACTATTTACACCAAAATCTATTTTCTCAATCATTTTCCATAAATTCTATTTTCCAAATATTCACACCCTCTACGTCAACTCATCCCTCTATATATATATATTTAACAAATTGAAAGGAAGTTCATCGACCTCCAAATTTGATAATACACACACACACACACACACACACACACTCATGGGGGGTGCTTTGTTTTCTATATCATCTGCATTGTTATTTGTTGTTTTTGTTTCACTTTCAAGAAATGTGGATGGAAAAATAGTGCAAAACGGCGGCACGTGTGACTTATTCGAAGGAAATTGGGTTTGGGACAATTCTTATCCTCTCTATCACTCCTCGCAGTGTCCATTTTTCGAAGATCAGTTTAACTGCGAGAGGAATGGTCGGCCGGACAAAGACTTCATGAAGTATAAATGGCAGCCCACTGGATGCAAGTTGCCGAGGTACGTATATATATATATATATATATATATATATATATATATATATATATATATATATATATATATATATATATATATATATATCCCTTTTTTTTCTGAAAATGTTCGGATTGGAATGTATAGAATTACCAAAGGAATTTGATTTTCAGTTCGATTTTAATTTCTAAAATATACCCAAAATTCTAAGTTTGGTAAAAAAAAAAAAACGCTATAGCTTCAACAGTTTGGACTTAGTTGTGTGTATATATATTACAAACTACCCGCTCTGTTCCATATTATTTGTCTTTTTGGGGGTTTTTTTTTGTGCCAAATTATTTGTCATTTTAGAGTTCCAATAAAACATTAATTGCATTTTTATCAATTTTGCCCCTCATTACTTTTAATTAATTAATTAAAAAATAATTAATGATAAGGGTATTTTAGTATTTACTATGTTACTTTCGTATAATTTATGCATATCTATTGAATTTCTTAATATGCGTGCATCTATCCAAAACGAGATTTGTTCGATGCTACACCCGGTGAAAAACACCGGGTGTAGCATCGAAGGAACCCCAAAACGACATATAATATGGGATAGAGGGAGTAATTAATATAAATAATGTGTTATATTTTGTTGTAGATTTAACGGTGTTGAGTTCATGAGAAAACTAAAGGGCAAGCGGCTAATGTTTGTGGGAGATTCACTGAGTTTGAACCAATGGCAATCTCTCACATGCTTGCTTCACGTAGCACTACCCCAAGCTAAGCACATTTCCTACACCAAAGACGGTCTTTCGAATTTTACTTTTCCGGTGAGATTTTATTTATTTATTACTTTCATGATCTTACATTCCAAGCTAAGTGGGTTTCATTTATATTATATATAGTATAATATATTACATATGTGTGTGTACTTTAATGTTTACATTTGGATGAGAGGATTTGAGAAAATGATTTATCAATTTCAAATATGTAAAACTCATTAAGATTGTTATAATTGATTTGTTTGACAATAAATTTCGAATTCGATCTCCATTTGGAGTATTTTGAAAATTATTTCACAATTCTCTTCTAAAACCAAAACCCTTCAATTCAAACATACTAGTAAAGAATTGAATTTACTTAGTATTTTAATTATTTGTTTTGGAATTTTATCGAGTTTTAAAATGATATAAAATGTAATTTGATCTTAAGTTAAATATAATTTGATGCAATATATGTGTAGGAGTACGATGTATCGTTATTGTTCTTACGAAACACATTCCTCGTGGACATAGTGAGTGAGCCTCGAGGAAGAGTGTTGAGGTTGGATTCAATCAGCGCAAGCAAAATTTGGGGAGGAATGGATGTTGTTATTTTTGACTCTTGGCATTGGTGGCTTCACTCCGGCAGGAAACAACCGTAAGTATTAATTCTTTTCTTTGTTTCCGCCCTCGTTTTCCCTCAATTCACTTACGTCTTATATATATTTTTTGATTTTCCAGATGGGATTGGGTTGTGTATGGTAACACCACAGTTAAAGACTTAGACCGTATGACTGCATACGAGAAAGCACTGAATACATGGGCTAAATATATCGATTCTAACGTTGATTCTACCAAAACTCAAGTCTTCTTCCAGGGTGTTTCTCCAGATCATGCCGGGTAAATTTACACGTGTGCCCTTATATTTATACATAATGACATACACACATAGGTGCACGTGTATACTTATAAATATTTCACATATCATCTCTATGTATATGTACCCACAGTTTGAGTCGTTATATGATTGATATTTGCATGTAGTGCAAATTCGTGTTTCAATCGTATGTAATATTCACAATACCTGTGTACGTACACGGTTGTTATGAATACATGTACGTATGCTTAATTTGTATCCTTTTGAATGTAATTGAATGCAGTGGGCCAGGGTCGAGTGAAAAAGGTTGTGAGGGACAAACAAAGCCACTGACAAGTCCAGGAAGCCCTCATCCAGCAGAGCATGTGCTCGAGAAAGTGTTGAAAGGAATGAGTAAACATGTCAATTTGTTGAATATTACAAGGCTTTCACAACTGCGAATAGATGGACACCCTTCGATTTACGGCCGGTTTAAAGGTCAAAAGACTAATGATTGCACTCATTGGTGTCTAAGTGGAGTTCCGGATATCTGGAATGAGATCTTGTACGCTATGTTGGCTTAATACCTCAAAAAAACCGATACAACTATTTAACTTTGTTTTTCTTTGTTGAATGCTTATAAAGCAATAATGCATTTGGCTGCGTTCAGAATATGTGCACCCATCTCGCTATAAATACTTTATATCGAAAAATAGTATAAAGTTTTTTGTCAAAATACTTCTTTTTCTTCACTTGGTGCCAACTTTTTACCTTTTCTCCTCTAGCATTTTCGAATTGCACCTTTAATGTAGCGGAAACAATACTAGTCAACCAATGATATAAGTTCAGAAAACACATATCATTAGAGGGGTAAAATTGGGTTCACGAAATTACAAAATACATCTACTAATAAAATTGATTCTACCATCGGTTACCGAAACTTGGTAGAAATACAACTAATTAAAACTACCGCCAAACGGAGGGAGAGTACGCTAATACATGGTCAAAATAGTATCAAACAATTTTAAAAATAGCCACTGTGTTTACAATTAAAACCGTAAGACTAATACTAATTAATGCTATACGGCTTGATCCCTCGGGTTCCTAGACTTGGCTCAACTTCTACTTGTCGGGGCCTGTGCCCAAGTTACGTACACCAAGCAACACGTATATGAGTGCAACTCTAATAGTTGGATGTAAAATGGGAACGTCAAACACCCATTTGATATCAGCTACACAATTTTGAGGCCACTTATAATTTTTTTAGCATCAATGTAAAATTGGGATGGCAATGAGTTCGGGTTAGCTGAGTTTTGAACCTGGACCCGAACCGCTTGGGGCGGATTTGAGTATCTAAATGGGTTTGGGGCGGGTAACGGGTTTGAAAAATTGGACCCGAAGGGTTCTGGGTCGGGTAACGGATTTTATAAGAACCGACCCAGAACCCATCATTTGATAAAAGTAAGGCTGCTGCTGGTAAGCCCTAAGAAGTTTTTCACGCTCATTTGATAGTTTAATCGTCATTTATTTAATTAATTAATTTTATTTATATTTTATTTAATATAATCAAGTTTAATATCTTTTGAATAAAAATAAGGTGTTTCCCGGTAAACTCTTGGAAATGTTTCCCCCTCATTTGATAGTTATAATTGTGATTTATTTATTTAATTATTTTTATTTTTTTATTTCATTTAATATAATCAAGTTTAATAAATATTATTAATTAAGAGCACGTTTGGCTAAGCTTATAAGCTCCTAAAAATATGTTATAAGATGTTTAAGAGCTTGTAAGCTGTTAAAAAGTATTTGGAAAAAAATAGAAAAGATCTTATTTTTTTCAAAAATAAGCTATTAGCTAAGGGAGCTTATAAAATGTTTTCAAAAAAATAACCCCACCCCACCTTTTTTTTTTAACATCTTATTTGCTTCTTTACTTAGAGCCCGCTTGGCTAAGTTTATTTAAGACATCTTTTAAGCTCCTACATCTGATAAGATGTTTTAGGAGCTAATAAGATGTTTTATCTTATTTTAAAAATTATTTTTTAAGGTGTTTGGATATGTCGCTTATAAGTTACTTTTAGGTTTTATAAGTTGTTCAGGTATTTGAAAATAAAAGGTCTGTTTATCGATATATTGACAAAAAAAGTACATGACGTCATTATACCTATTAAACATTGACTCAAACTTTTGTTCCTAAAATATTATTATAATTTTTAATTTCTTTCCCATTAATATATTAATATAAAATAAAGGTTGTAAAATAAATATAATTTTTTTTGATAGATAAAAGAAATATAATTTATTATTGAGATAATAAGAATATTTGGGCATTGTTATATACATATAAAATATAAGTAGAGAATAATTTATTTTTACAGTTATTATGATAATTATGATAATTATATTTTAACTAATTACTAATCTTGATTATAAGAGTAGGTTGTTTTGATAAAATATAAATGTTATTAGTATTCATGTAATATAATAAAGTATTGGAGGGTAATTTTGTATTTTGAGTATTTTAGTAAATAAGCAAATAAGATCTTCAAGAAAAAAGATGGGGTAGAGGAACTTTTCTAAAAATATCTTATAAGCTCCCTAACAACTTATTTTTGGAAATAATAAGATCTTTTCTAATTTTTTTACCAAGCATTTTTTCACAGCTTATAAGCTCTTAAACATCTTATAAGATGTTTTTAGGAGCTTATAAGTTTAGCCAAACAGGCTCTTAAACACTCAAAATACAAAATTGCCCTCAAATACTTTATTATATATTACATGATTACTAATAACATTTATAGTTTATCAAAACATCGTAGTATTTTAATAAAGATTAAAAATTAGTTGTAAATAATTATCATAATAATTGTAAACAAAAATATTCTCTATTTATATTTTATATGTATATAAAAATACCCGAATATTTTTATTATCTCAATAATAATTTATATTTCTTTTATCGATAAAAAAAATTACATTTCTTTTACAAACTTGATTTTATATTAATATATTAATGGGACAAAAAAATTAAAACTTTCACAAACCTGTTTCATTAAAATACTTTATTACACTTCATTTTATTTTTAAAATAGTCAAATATCATATCGACATACATAAAAAAAAGTATTTAGTTTATTTAATATATAATTTTATATTATTATTTTCATTTGAAAAATTAATTTATAAATATGATAATAATATTTTACGAACAAAAGTATTCGAGTCAAATAAGTTTAACAATTATAATGGCGTCATGTACTGTTTTGTCATTATAGCAATAAATATACCTTTTATTTACAAACACCTGAACAACTTATAAAAACTAAAAGTAACTTATAAGCTACATATCCAAACACCTTAAAAAATAATTTTTAAAATAAGATCTAACAGCTTATCAGCTCCTAAAACATCGTATCAGATGTAGGAGCTTATAAGATGTTTTAAATAAGCTTAACAAAACGGCTCTAAGTATCTAGATTTTTTGGTCCCAAATCTTCATATTTTTTTCCCACTAAAACTGTTATTTTACTTAATATTATTTTATGGGAATATTATTTAATAATTTAGAAGGATATTTGTTTCACATATATCATTTAAAGTAGCTTAAATTTTTAAAATTTTGGCTTATACATATCACTATCCTGAATCAACAAATTTTAAATTTAAATCATTCAAAATTTTTGAAAACTTTGGATGATTTCATTATAGTTAATATCAGCCAAAAATCATGGTAACAAATTAATATTTTATATCTATCTTATATATATAAAAAAATTGTGTCTTTTAGGGTTTAAAATATCATATTACCCATTAGATGTAATTCTCATTAGGCAATTAAGTGGTAATGCTAAACTATCCATTGTATTAATTATATTTGTGGGCATTCCTTGAGATTTAATGCATCATTTCGTCAGACTTCTATCTTAACTAAGATAAGAAAAATAGACAACCATATTACATCAAAAACATAAAGTTAAATTAATAAATATGGGAAAAAAAAAGTTTATAGATGGGGGATTATCATCAATACATATAACAAACCATCAAAACGAATTGAAACCTCAATTTTGTCGTTTAAATTGATCTTTTTTTTTTGAGAGAGTCGAAAAAACTTCATTGATAAAGCTAATTCGGCATAAATAATAGAACGGATTCTATCGGGTAATACGAACATGTCATAAGTTTCATTTTTCGGTAATCTTGCTATCTCGTGCGCCGCCTTGTTGCCTTCCCGTGCAATATGCTGGGCTCTGAACACCATTAGCTTAGAACCTGTCCGTATAATATCGCTACCAATCGTGCCGTAGTCCGCGTTGCAATTTGATTCTTCGACAGCGGTGATGACAACACTCGAGTCCCCTTAAAGAACAATCATCTGCCAATTATTATCTCGAGCCAGTGCGATCGCCATTAAAACTGTTTTAGCTTCAGCCTCGGTTGGGTCAAGATATTGTGTAATACATTTTGTACGCCAACCAACACACTTTCCAGACTCCGAAGGAGCTATCACTGTAAGACCGCACACTACCTGTGGATGTTGTCAACGAACCTCCTTCCTAATTCTCCTAATATTTGAAAGCAATACTTCGGTTGTGGTTGTTTGGAGGTCATTCTAAATTTTATTCATGAAGAATATATTGCCCCCGGGTCTGGAACTTTCCCCTTGAACATACGGTTGTTCCTTGCATTTCAAATTTCCCAACATAACAATACATATCGATCAATATATATATATATATATATATATATATATATATATATATATATATATATATATATATATATATATATATATATATATATATATATATATATATATATATATATATATATATATATTTTTCTCGTTTGTCGGTTTTGTTAACCCTTTTTTCCTCCTTTTCATCCAGAATTCCAGGCTTTTTCTGCTCATTTGCCTTCTACTATATTATTCTCTTATCCTCAATCTAGCCACAGGCCCACATCTACAACATCACCGCCATCGTTTACTCAACAATTTCAAATTGTAAAAGTAATATGTAAACAATATATTACTAACAAGGGTTTGGATTTTTTAAGAAAATGAAGCAAATATTAGTTCCAAATTTTATTTCTATATTTGTTGTACTAATGTACTGTTTATTGGATTTTTGTAAATTAATTGTGATTTATTATTAGGCTGCGGCTATATGCAATACTCATTCCACTTGTGTAAGACTAAATTAAAGAAAGATTCCAAAAGATTCTATTTTATTAAGATGGAATGACAAGTATGCCCATAAATTAAATTGACTTTTTTTTCTCATGTAAGACCAAATACAAATAATGAGAAAAAAACAAAAATCGACACCAAGGTGTCGAAAAACTATGCTACAAATCGACACTTAAGCGTCGAATTTCATAGGTAAAAATCGACATTGACATGTCGAATTTATAGCACAAATCCAAATGTCGAATTTTATACCTCAAAATCGACATCTAAATGTCGATTTTTACCTGTAAAATTCGACCTGTACATGTCGAATTCGTTTGCGCGGGATTTTTTTTGGAAAATAAATATTCTAGCTAAAAAAAACCATAAATGCATACATTCTTGGGTTCTTCC